GCCTGTGTCTGCAGTGTCCTTCCTCCTTGATCAGGCACAAAGGTCTATCAGTGCCCATGGCACCCTCTGATACCCCAAAATCTGTCACTGTGCCACTCTCCACCTCAGGTGCAGGGTGAGCTAGATGTGCACTCAGTCCTCTCAGAAGAGCCTCCACACGTCTCCTCAGCCCAGGAAACTAGCAGGGAACCACTTCCTCTTTGACCCTGTACCTTGTAGGATTTGCAGTTTACCCTGTCAAGCTAACCAAGCCAGCTCAGTCTGTCAGAACTTTACCTCCCACAGTCCTTACAGTCCATGTCCTGTGTTTCTCCCTATTGGGTAGAGGGTTTTTTCCTTTAAATAAAAACTGCTTGGGGGGGTCCTATAAATCTGTCTGTGAAGTGGCTCACCTATACCATTTAAACAATGTAGGATGAGGGTCTAGTAGAATCTCTTTTCTCCATACAAACCTCACCATCATTATGGGTAGGTCCAAAGAGCTGTCAAAAGACATCAGGGACAAGATTGTAGACCTGCACAAGGCTGGAATGAGTTACAAGACCGTCAGCAAGAAGCCTGGTGAGAAGGAGACAACTGTTGGTGTGATTATTCACAAATGGAAGAAATACAAAATTACCATCATTTGCCCTTGGCCCAGAGCTCCATGCAATATTTTGCCTCATGGGATAAGGATGATCATGAGAAAATGAGGGATCAGCTCAGAGCTACATGGGAGGAGCTCGTGAATTATCTCAAGGCAGTTGGGACCACATTCACCAAACAAACATTGGTAACACAATACACCGCCATGGATTGAAATCCTGCAGCGCCCAAAAGGTCCCCCTTCTTAAGAAGGCACATGTACAGGCCTGTCCGAAGTTTGCCAATTAACATCTAAATGATTCAGAGAAGGATTGGGAGAAAGTGCTGTGGTCAGATCAGACCAAAACTGAGTTCTTTGGCATTAACTCGACTAACTGTATTTGAAAGAAGAAAAATGCTGACTATGACCCTAAGAACACCATCCCTTTAGTCAAACATGGAGGTGGAAACATTATACTTTGGCACTGTTTCTCTGCTAAAGATACAAGCTGACTTTGCCTCATTTAGGAGCCAATGAACGGGGCCATATATTGCAAAATCTTGGATGAGGACCTTCTTCCCTCAGCCAGAACACTGAAGATGGGTCGTGGATGGGTCTTCCAGCATGACAATGACCCAAGACATACTGCCAAGGCAACAAAGGAGTGGCTCAAGAAGAATCACATTAAGGTCGTGGAGAGCCTAGCCAGTCCCCACACCTTAATCCTATAAGTTGCCAAGGAACAGCCAAGTACCTTAAGAATTAAGAGAAGCTCTATAAAGAAGAGTGGACCAAAATACCTCCTGAAATGTGAGTAAATCTAGTAACCAACTACAAGAAATGTCTTACCTTTGTGCTTGCCAACAAGGGTTTCTCCACCAAATACTACTTATTTTACTTACTGAACTGCAACTCAATTTGCAACATTTGTATAATGTTTTTTTCTGGAATTTTGGTTGGTATTCTGTCTCTATCATTTAAAGTACACCTATGATAAAAATAATAGACCCTTAATTTCTTTGTAAATGAACAAACTTACAAAAACTGCAGGGGATCAAATAATTATTTTCCCCACTGTATTAGCTGCACCCACTGAATGGGTAAATGCTTGGGCATTCATCCAAACACCTGAATAGATAAGGTGTGGTCCGGAATTGTGTTCAGACTGAACTTTGAGCTGGTCTCTTGTGTACTAATGTGAAAACAAATGAGGATAGTGAAAAGCCACAATTAAGCACAGGTACTGAGCTAGATATTAATGCAAGCACAGCCCACCATGCAGGTGTAAACAATGTTGCAATGCTCCAGACTCAAAATAAACAAAATAATATAAATATAATACACATATAATATATGATAGATATTTATAACATCCAGTCCCATGCTGAAAAAAAATATGTTCAAGAATGAAAAACAAAATTGAGAACTGATTCACACATATGCGGTGCAGATTAAAGCTCAGGTTTCACAGCTAATTGATACAGTAGCTGTTCACAGATTCACCTCAGGTTTACATCAGATTCAGGACAGGATTAGCTCAGGATCTTATCCTGTTCACACATATGCAGTTTAGGAACGGTTCCCATAGAAGTCAATAACCTGTAATCCACACCTGAACCTGAAGCCAATGCATGACTCTTTTTAAAACCACACTGAATCCACACTGAATTTGCACCGGTCCTGCATCAGACATATGTGAACAGGCAAGTTAGGAAGCAATGGTATTTCATATGTTATGTGGATTGGATGCAGTTCAAACCTTATCCAATCCGCATATATGTGAATGGGCAGTAAAGTCTCCTCCACATTTCTGTGCAGGGGCGGACTGACAACTTATGGGGCCCCCGGGCAATAGGGGATCATGGGGCCCCTGTTTCCTTGTCCAAACTCAAAAAAGCCTATGAAAAGTACCAGGGGCATCTCATGGGGCCCCCTACTGACCCCGGGCCCTTGGGCAGTGCCTGAGTTTCCAAATGGTCAGTCCGCCCCTTAAGTTCAAAAGTAAAGATTACTTTTGAACTTGAAAAAACAAGTTCAAAAGTAATCTTTAGTCTCATACGATACTCAGTGGATCTTCATTAACCTCCTTAGCGGTTTTCCCGAGTGTAGCTCGGGGTAAAATTTCAATACCAAGAGCGGTAACCCCGAGCTACACTCGGGCTTACCATGCGGCGTTGCTCAGGGGGTCCCTGCAGCACTTACCTTGTCCTTTGCTCCCGCGATGTGTCCCCTGCAGTGTCCCCGGCCATCTCCTCTGGCCGATGCCGGCATCTGGCTTCCGTGTTCCGGTCCCTGTGACGTCGGGACGTACGGGTGCCGGGACCGGCGGGAAATTTGAAATTTTTAAAAAAAATTTATTTTTGCTGTCATTGCTGTTTCAATGCATTTCACATATATTTTGTCCCTACTGCTTTGTCCTGTGCCCTGCCTGCATTTTGACTGTTCTTTCTGCCTGGAAACTTAGAAAGGTCCATGGCGTCCAAAAAGCGTCCCTTTACGTCAAAAGCAGTTTTAGAACAGCGATAGTAAATCAGAACCACTTGCAGAATTGAGTGATAATGATTCATGGGGAAATTTGTCATCAGATACTGAAAATGATTTTGCGACTTTGCTCAGCGATGTGCGAATTTGCCTCTGTATTTCAAATTTCAGTGTTTTTGGTTTGATTATATTATTGAATTAAATTTATTATTATTATATTATTATTTTTTTATGATTATTTATTAAATTATAATTTATGATTTTGTGTTTCAAGTTTTATCATATCCGGAATGTTTACTAGACTCTTGTTCGTACAGATTTCAGTGAGTTATTCCTAAAAATTACAGCCTACAATAAAAAACTAAATATTTCCATGCAAAAAAATGGTACCGCTTTCAGCACAAAAAATCGGAAAGAATCATACTGCCGAGGAGGTTACATGCTAATTTCTAACAATGATCCCTTCATGACATGATTGAAATCGCACTTACCAAAAATGTGGAGCCTTTCTTATTACAGATTAGGCCAACATGGTTTGCTTATCCTGGCTAGAAAATTCTCTCACAAGTCATCAGAAGCAGCAGAATTCCTCCAAAGCTCTACAAAAACCTCAGATGGATGTATGGATCGGACCATAAAGAGATACTTACATCATGTGATATCATCAACATCATTTTTTAAAAGAGAAAAACCAGACATATCTCTCACAGTGACTGCAATAACACTCTGTATAGCTACGCCTAAATTGGACAGGAACATGAGGAACATGAGGGCACCACCGGCCACTCTACTCCTCCAGCTCACTCTGTTTACAGATGCTCACATGGAACTCCTTCCAGATCTGCTTACAGCATTTGGGTTTCATCCTCTATGGACTTTTGTCATGGGGATCTCTTTATGATATCCATCTACCCATCTATGGTTATCTGGAGTTATAAATATTTCACATGAGTATTATATTGGTTATTTTGAGTCTGGAACATTGGAAAATTATTTACACCTTTAAGGTAGACTGTATTTGTATTGATATCTAGTACTGTACTTGTGGGTGATTGTGATTTTTCACAATCCTCATATAAAACATTGGGGTATTATAGTATAGCCGCTGAGGAGTTTATTTGCACATTGAGGATTGGGATTGAGGATTGTCTATTTATTGTTTTAGACAAAGCATAGAAGGGTTATATTATAACACATTGCTAAGGTGAACTTATAACATATTGCTAAGGTGAACTTTACATATGGATCATGGTTAAATGACAGTTGTCTATACTAGAGTATTACAGTAAACACAAGTAGCAGAAGACCCTGGAATGGCAAGTATAAATATTGTCTAACTGGACTGCATTAATGTTATTAATTGGTATTAGCGGTATTCAGTAAACAATGCAGCCTGAGCTAAAGTTATGAAGTTTAGTTTGTTAGCCTTAATATGAGTTCTGTGTAACCCTCAGATCCAATCTATGGTACAGCTTCTTACAGGTCAGTAGGTCACTTGAAAAGTACTTCAGAAAGCATATGTTGTGTAGCTTACCTTTATCTATTCTTTCAGCACTATTATTCACATTTAAACTTCCAAGACAGACCTGAAATTGACCTGTGGCTGTAGGAAATATTTTAGTACAAGCAGACATGTTCCAGGACCTTCAACTTACTAATAAAAAGAATGGGAAAGAATTAGTCTACTAAAGCTGGGCTTTAGTAGGAGTAGGAGTGTACCAATAACATAAACCTGCCATAAACCTTGATAATTCATATTGAGCATACATTAAGGAGAGGTCACCTTAAAGGAAAACCATCTGAGACAACTACTCTTCAGGCTGCCAGCTGCCCCACCCCCTACACACTTCTAACTAATCTCTGGAAAAAATCTACATAACTGCCCATAACACACCGGAATCTGAGCATTCCACTCCCATGTCTTCTCTTTTCTTCTGTGTACAGGGAATTGGAGTTAAAGTGGTTGTAAAGGCTCAAGGTTTTTAGCATTCATGCATTCTATGCACGAAGGTAAAAAAAACCTTCTGTGTGCAGCAGCTCCCCCAGACCCCTAATACTCACCTAAGCCTCCTCTCACTCAAGTGATGTGCACTGGAGTCTCAGCTATCCCGAGACTCCCTCTTCTCATTGTCTGAAACAGAAGCTGGAGCCATTGGCTCCCACTGCTGTCAATCACAGCCAGCAAGCCAATGAGAAGAGAGAGGGGGTGTGGCTGAGCTGCAGCTCCATGTGTGAATGCACACACATAGCAGCGGGTGCCCCATAGTAAGCTGCTTGCTGTGGGGGCATAAAACAGGAGGGAGGGGCCAGGAGAGCAAGCAGGGGACCCGAGAAAAGGAGGATCTGGGCTGCTCTGTGCAAAACCACTGCACACCGCAGGTAAGTATAGACATGTTTGTTATTTTTTCTTAAAAAACTTTTAGAATCACTTTAAACTTCAGGTTTTTATGTCTCTGCCTGCATGCAGTGAACTCATCGTATTGCTTGTCCAGCTGCAGTTTTCTTTCAAGATTCAGAAGAGTAGCCTGCAGTGGTAATGTCAACAAAAGTGGACCACTGGGATACTGGTCCCCTGTACCTGGAAACAGTGTCAGCAAGGGACCTGGGTGGAGGACTTAGATGAGTCAAACTTTGTTTCACAAGGTTTTAAAAAAACCCTGAATGTATGCAGTTATATAGACTGCTGAAGTTATATGGAAGACTTAACTTTTTCTGTGAATGTTAACCTTGGCTATGTACCCTACATGCTGAGCCTCCTTACTGCTGCTTTATATGATAGGATTCCTCATTCATCAATAAAGAGTCTGGGGATGCAAAAGAAATCATGAAAACTTTTGGATTTTGAAGGAAAAAAGATTTGCAGAAAACTTCAACTTTCTGTATCTTTGTTTGCTGATTAGTTTGCCATGCTGCTTTTAAAGAAGATATTCACTGCTTATATTTTAATTGTCTATGTTTGTGAGAAGTTTACTTTATGTAGATTTACATTGTAGGACATTATTTATTTATAAAATAAAGGACTTTTACGATGGTATGTACCTTATTTAATATTGACTATTTTTGGGAATGAGCAACATGGGGTACTATGTACTGCATACTCATTCATGTGGAGTGGAAGGGAGAATATCTGCAGGCACCCTTATTCTAATCCCTTCCCAAAGATCTCCACATCTACTGGGCCAGGGATGTGGGACCTTGTCTTCATCAACATACGGAGCAGTCACTGCCCCCTTTTGTGGCCAACCAGACTGAATGCCTTAATAGGGGTCTGGTATAGATTTCCATGGGGACCCCATGCAATAGAACAAACAAAAGGTGTACAGCCTCTCTAAAAATCCTCATCAGACCATTATCCAGGCATGCCACCTAGATGGTGATGAGGAGCAAAACCCATACTCTCAACATGGTGAGAATACTTTGCCTCTCACTTGGAAAGTCACCTTGTCTCCATGTCTCCCACATCCCTGGCTGGATGAATGTATGTGTAGCACCCTACTAGAGTGGTGTGGGCTGCTAGGTAAATTTAGTTTTCTCCACTGTAATCAGAGGCGTGGGGCCTATTGGCAAGCTTGAGTCCAGGTATCAAGTTGGGCCTGGAGAAGCTCACTGGAGAGAGACCAGGAGGAAGTTGGAGGGAAAGAGTACAGCTGCTCTACGGTGGTGTGATTCTACATCTCCCTCACTAGGAAGATCCTAGTGGATATTGGAAGGAGGCAACTGATGAACTTGTGGCTATGTGAGTAAGTGAACCCCTTGATGAAGAGTTAGTGACTGTGTGCTTTCAAACTCTGCAAGGATTACTATTCACCATCAGCATTGGGAATCTATAGGACAAACCTTTTTGCACTGTGCAGCCAGAAAGGTAAGGAGTCCTCAATTTATTCAGTTCTACAGTTTATTGGGGTATCCTGTGCTCCCTTTCCCTATACAAGTTCCCAATCAAAACCCCCAAAAAACCTAGACTGTTCTTTGAAGCCAGTGGATAAGTAAAGAAAATGCTTTGTTCCTGGCTGAGTGTTTTCATGTGCTAATGATTAACTGATATGTGATAAAGCTAAATACTGTAAGCTAAATAACTGTGTATGCTAAGAAAATGACAGCTGCTGCGGTTACAAAATGTGCCCAAAGTACACATTCAGATATAAATAAATATACATAAAAACCACATTGCTTTAATACTCCTAGATTGTAAGCTCAAAGGAGCAGGGCCCTCGAACCCCTCGTGTATTGTATTGTATTGTTACTGTACTGTCTCCTGTACTGTCTCCCATTATAATGTACAGCACTGAGCAAACAGTTGGCGCTATATAAATACTGTATAATAATAATAATAAAAAACAAATATATGTGACAATATCAATTGAAAAGCATGCTGTATTCCCCAAGTGCCATAAAGATATCACATCCATATAAACGCACACTGGTGATAAATCAGTGAAAATAATTTATAAATATAATGAACAGTCTTGTAGTGTCCATACACCTGGTGCCACCAAAAGTGCAAAGCTTCAATCTTTAAACAAGCTGAGAAGTGCCTCCACAAAGACATGCACTTACCAGACAATTTTGACCCTCTAAAATAGATAGGTCAAATTGCGCCTTTTTGGGTCAAGCCTCCTGTTTTACACTGCCATCATTGCTCAAGCAGCTAAATTGATTAAAACCACAAAAAAGCATATATAAAATTGCACTCACTTTTAGTGGGCCAATGTATCTTCACTAGGTGTGTTCAGTGCTGCTTAGGATGAGGAAAAGATGGCCACTATGGGTGTGGTCTGTGTGCTCTGAGTGGGGAAATAGGGCTGCGTTCACTATTCTATGGGAGTGCACTACACTGCGGTCTGCAGGAGAAAACTTATTGAAATATGGAAGCTCACTTCAAAATAAGGGTGCCCCGAGATATGCACCCCTGTACATGATTGAGTCTAGGGTTCATACTACCATTTACAAAGAATAAGTCAATAGTAAATACAACACACACACAGTAGTAAAAGTTCATTATTTAAAAAAAATAAATAAAAAATGTCATACAATGTAAATCCAATTTCAATTTCATCATTCAGCAATGTAGATCCGATGCCAATAACAATGAGTGACTCTCTGTTGACCTGCTGACCTGACATCCTGCATCATGACACTCTTCTCCCACCACAAATAAAAGATCCATTTCCAGATGCTGAATATCAACAAATCAGCTGGAACTAGGTGACATTAATGACCGTATACGGTCATGACCATATTTGTTCAATGACATCACCCAGGATCCCCCAGTAGATTTCCTTACAATTAGAATCAGGCTGAGAATCTGAACTGTCATATAATGGTAGTTTTTTTTTTTTTATGTCACTTTTGCAGGAGTACATCCTACAGGTATGCCACTTCACATGCGGGTTGCCCTTTAAGTTTCAGGGAAAAAAATCCTCATTGATACATGTCTCTTATGGCAGTGCCCAGCTACCTATGCCTTTTTTTCCCAAATGCTTTTAAATTGGTCTTGAAAAAGGCAAGAACAAAAAATGACCAGATTTAGTTGCTATAAACGTTATTTGGGTTCAGGTACAGGTTTGGCAAATGTGGAGTGACCTGAACTTTGCTTAGTTCATTCATCACTATTTGCAAGGATATTTTTCACAAATGCATGTTTTTGAAAATAGCTTATTTTTTTTTCTGGACTTTATTTTTAGTTTACATAGGTCTTTATTGAGTTTTAACCAGAAGTATGAACAGATAAGACAATCCTTCAGAAACAGAACAGAGTGTACAGACATGAACAAAGGTGCAAATGCATCAATACAAAGATCATTCAGGTTTGCTAGAACAAAGCATCAGCCATATATTTTAGGACTGTAAACATCAGGGGCAGCTGGGTGGAAGGTACCATGGTGAGTTGAAGAGGTATATATCATCAATAAAAGAGTAAAGGGACAGAAATAGTGATATGCAAATTATTGATCTATGTTGCAGTATGGGATTTGATCCAGCTTTGCCATGTATTATGAAATTTATGTCAAGTGTCGTTTTTCGAAGACATCAATCTTTCATAGAAACAATACAAGTTTACTTTATCAATTACATCAGAAAATAATGGAATGTTAGTAGTCTTCCATCTACATATCAGAAGGTATTTTGCTGCTAAGAGAATATGAATGAAAATATTAGTAAGAGCTACTTCTACTACAGGATTGATTTCTAAGCTTTATGCTAGTATTCCAGTGGCATTGGAGAAGGAACTGTAAAGTGGGCAGATGACGTGGGGAGCTGACTGATGTGCAGTGGAATTGTATATTGAGGTCTATGGATCGGATATCTTTGTTTCCTTCACAAAGGCTAACGCAGATATATAATTCACAGGGCATATTATACACCATCAAAATTGTTCTTGTTCGGGAGATGTCCAGATGCATTCTGTGCTAGATGTGGGGATCCATCTGCAGATCTCATTCATTTGGTTTGGAGATGCCCTAAACTACATAGATATTGGGAGGAAGTGGTAATACACTAAAGAGGGTATTCAATGTTGCTCTTCTGGTGTAACCTAAATTATGTGTGCTAGGATATATGGATTATCAAGATTCCCCCTCTGCAACACAGATAGCAGTACTGCAATGTCTTTATCAGGCCATAAATTTGATTGCTCAGAAGCGGATAACTCCTTCCCCACCTTCTCACGTGAACTGGTTAAGAATGGTTAATAATCTATTGATAAGAGAAAAACTTGTCTGCTTGAGAAGGGGTTGTGTGGGCAAATTTGAAAATATATGGAAAATGTGGGTGGAGGCCCAAGAAATGGTATTTGGATCTGGGAATACTGGATAAATAAAATACACTGTATTTTGTTAAGAGTATCTGAAATGGTGGGGTGGGTTGTCAAGCACCAGACATATTGGGGGATGTTTATTTAGTTCGGAACCCGCTTCATTATTCAATGTGTAAGAATTGGCTTTAAGAGATTTGAGAAGTTGGTCATGTTGTGCATTTAGACAATTTCAGAAGAGCAAGTCTAGCTGATTGAAGATCTTTCTCCAGTTGGAAGGAAGGGGATGATTTACTATGAGATTCGAGGTCTCTCCAATTTTGGGTAAGCTGATCAAACGTCTGGGAACTTTGTTTTTTGGCATGTGCTTCAATTTCAAGAAATATGCCTTGCATGAGCACTTTATGTGCGTTCCATAAGGTGTAATGATCAGTGTCATCAGTATCATTGGTAGAATAGATATAAAGAAGGATGTATGTTTTGTTGGGTATATTTAATATCTGTTAAGTAAGTGGTGTTCAGTTTCTATAAAGGAGCTGTGTTATCTATGGGTCGTTTTGAGACACTAATGGTTACAGGGGCATGATCAGGCCATGTAATGGTTTCTATGGTAGATGCCTGTGTTTTTTGTAATGTCCATTTGCCTGTGATAAACATGTCTATCCTAGAATAGGAGTTGTGGGCTATTGAGTAGTAGGAGTAATCACATTCTGTGCCATGCTGGCAACGCCAAATATCAATCAGGTCTTGTGTAAATAAAAACTTATTTAAGGAATTGGTTGAATTTCA